ATGGTGATAGGTCGCCAGCTCCACCAGCTCCACCAGCTCCACCAGCTCCACCAGCTACATCAGTTGCGTCAGTTTTATCATATCTATTTACCAATATCCCGAGTGGTCAAGCGAATGTTGATGCTCCGCCACCAACACAAACTCATCCAATTCCGCCAACACCACATCCAGGGCCACTCTACTATTTTGTCAATAATCTCCTAAGTGTCGATTTCGCACGAGGCGCACCTATGCAGGTGGGAGAAACTTCCAATCATACAGATCTTCTCGGTGTTGAAGAAAATTCAACCAATCATCCTTCCCAATGTGTAAATGCTAAATCCTCAGGATCTACACTTCCTTCTCTCGATGATATGCACAAAGAGGCATCATCGAACCCCGCCGTCTCTACTCCAGGGCATCCAGGCAATGTCTCATCCGACCACCTCCCTCCTGCCTCTAGTCCCAATTCTCCAAGTCACCAACTAAATGTCAGGAGTGCTGGTGAAGAGACTATTTCATCGACTGGTGAATGTCCCACTCAAGTATCTTCTGCTCAAAGGTATGCCCACTGGCAATTGAAGGTCATGCTGTTTACTGTGATGAGATCATCATCTCCGTTTTTATTCCCTTCAGAAGCATAAAGCACACAGATAAAGTGAATCGCACATATACCCCTAGAGAGGCAGCTGCGCCTTTGAATATATGGTTCAGTGAACACAAAAGTAACCCCTATCCAACCCCAGAAGAGAAGGATCGCCTTGCAGTTGAATCAGGGATGACTCTTTACCAGGTGAGGCACTAATTTTATCTCTACATTTCAAATTGATTCGATTAAGTTGATACAAGCTAGTAGTAGAGTGTAGGTGTCTGGATATGTTTGTGGAATGAACCGTTTCACGGGCGCTTTATGAGTTGCAAAGAGGTCGTCATACGATAGTTGAAAGAGTCTACTAAGGCTCAGAGACTGTCTTCGGATGCCTCTGGTGCATTGGATTGAATGATTGACATACTTCTTACTTGTAGGTAAATACATGGTTTGCAAACAAACGTCGTTCGTTAAAGAACAAAAACAGGATGACATGGACGCCACCGACCATTAATACCACCAGTGCTGGGCTAAGAAGAGGTGAAGAAAATGGGGGTCTGGAACGACTGCTCCCCTCTCCTGAGTGCTCAAATAACAATGACGAACCTGTCAAGTCCAATGGTATTCTTGATTCTTAATTCCTTCCAAATTTTTCCAATATCTTTAACTGCAGTATATGTATATATTACGAATTTCGTCCCATTCCATCTGACAAAGTTGTTACTAATTACATTTTGGGCATTTATTTGTGTTTTGCTCTTTCAAATATGGGGAGTAGGGAGTATGAGGTTAGAGAGTGAAGTTGATTTATTCTCCTACTTCAACCTGAGATCATCGATTCGTGCAACAATTAAACTGTTTTCGCGGACTCGATATAATTGTATGGGTTTGATTTGATAACTAGCTATGTGGATGAAGGAAATGAAGAACGCGAGCAGAATGGGATAAATGGGGAGTTCATTTGGGCTCAGAAGGAAATAATGAGCAAATGAGTCTCTTACATGTATCGCTTTTCCACCACGGTTCCCTACGCAAGTGATAACAGCGGTGATGACTATAAAGGATATTTGTGTGAGAGTAAGTAGCTGTTGAGCAGGTGACAGGGATAAAACAAATCATGTGTGTTTCGAGAAAGTCACACGAAGATTCACACATGAGTGCTTTGTCGAAGTGAGTGAGCGTAGGGTCTCGTGTTGTTGCGCCTCTGTCGTCGGAAGGTCAAAAGTGGTAGAACAATCATAATTATTGATTCTATTGTGACTGGATATCAAAAAACGACAACATCGAAAATTGCACAAGTTGTCTTTCATACGTGGCATTTAATTCTCATGGGCTTAACTTTCGGCTAAGTTTTTACTTTGATCCCTACCAATAGGAAGAAGATGTGACTTACCATTTCCACATTGAAATGTGTTTTCTTGATATCACATCTAGCTATCGGCATGGTAGCATTTAATGATCAACATATTTTGTGGTTCAAGTGCATGTTTAAAACTGACTATTCAAGAATGAAATCTGAATATGCTGAAATCATATTGTCAGTATAGCAATATTTCAAAAATGGATGTTCTGTGAGCAATGCTTGAGATTAAAAGATGCTTGCGGAAATTCAGCCCATCCTGTATTGATGTCACTTATTTAACTCCGTTCAGTATCAACTCTACTGACAATGTTTTAGTAGTAACTATTTCATAAAGATATTACCTCCCTAAAGTTGCAAGCGAAACTCCTGTAACAAACTAAAACGCGGCATGACGATCACTTGTTAGTTTCCACCAACAGCCATCGTCGAATCCACCACATCAACCTGAACACAAGACACTTCCACCCACCTTGTTTACAACTAATTTACCGAAAATTGGCACAAAGGATATTGGTGTAACGCTGCATCCGTCCTCTGCCCACACTCCCTCGCCCCACCCTCCATCCAAGCCTCCAATTCAACCACCAAAGTCAAGGATGCAAAGCGTTATTATATCCACATTTGAGAGACTATTCACCTCTTGACATTAAATGGATAATTGTTTGCCAAATTAATGATAATGCAAACGGATGTATTTAAAATGCCTTGTTAGGTTCAATCTCTGTCGAAATTAGCTTTACATTAAAATGAGAACAAATGATAGTGAAGATGTTACCCCTTGTCAGGCATCAATCGAAAGGAAATTTGGCACATAGTCAATTGACATTTTGATCAAAATATAACTTACAGAAGTATCTAAGATAAAACTGTACAGGAATTATTCAAATGCTCAAAAGTGTTTGGCATCTGACGAGCAAAGTTCCAACCTAACGATTGTAATAAGATGCTCCAAGGTATTTAAGAATCAGGCGATAAGCACAAGTCAATAACTACTATGTCGAATAGAATTTAGCCTTGTGAGCTCTCAGCTTATCTTTCTTTTCTAAAGAAACTGACCAATAAGTTGACTTTCTGGCCATCCAACAAATTCTCACAAATATTGGAGTGATATAAAAGAAAACATTCTTAACGTCTTACTGCGTTTTCGTTGATGTGGTTTAAAGTCAAGAAAATATGTAGTAACTAGAAGTTGGCTGCTGCTGTTCATGACAAGTAATCAAATCATCTGCTTCTCAGGGTGAGCCTCTACGATTGATGTATTGAATGTATTCTATTAGAATGGAAATCTTGCTTTATTTCAGATTGGTGCTTTA